AGAAAGTGAAAAACTCTTCACTCTGCATGGCCTTACAATCAGTACTGGTGCTTGACTACCATTGCTGACCTCTCTGGACTGGATCACATGAGAAGGTGGAACACGTTCCCTATGGCACAAATCTCAAAATTACAAAAATTGCCAAGCTTACTGGTCTAATGGAGCCTGCTGGATTCCCTAACACCTTAGCCACCCTCACAGTGGGAATTAACATCACCTCTGAGACTCAACTTTCAGCCAAACAATAAGCCTACATATTGATTGGTAACACTAGGGAGGGGTGAACACCTTAGAACAATCGACTATATGATCAAACTATAAGATCAAACCAGCAGCATTTCCCCAGAAATAAAGCTCAGAAGGTAGGCAGGAATAGGAAAGAAAGACAAACGGAAATTGGAAGCACAGGGAAGAATTGACATGAGTGCTGTTCGACATGTAGGATGTAACTAATGTCATGGAGTAGAATAGATAAGAATTACCTCATGAAAACTCAATTTGCTCTGTAAACTTTCACTCAAATCACAATAAAGTTAATTTAAAATAGTAATAATAATGTTGCCTAATCAATGCTTTATAACCCTTCCCTGTTAAACTCTGTCCCAACTACTAATTTAGAGTTCTGCATAAAGCAAGTGCTCAGTAAATTGACATTGCACAGATAGCAGCCTCTGTTTCTCAAATAAATATTTGGCAAAAAAATTAAACATTATTTTCCTAGAGCACTATCTGAGGGGATTTTCTAAAGCTCAAGTTATTTTTATTACTTTCTTTTCTCAATCTGGCAGGACTTGTTGGACTATTCTGGGACATGTAGTCTATAGCATTTTAGGCAAATTAACAGCAACTAACAAAGATGGACTTGAGATAGAAGAGTGAAATGAAGAAATACAAGTGACTCTCATAGATGTTCAAGGAGATTGGTACTAAGGATAAGACATTCAACTGCTAATAGAAAAGCTGGTGGTTCAAATTCACCCATCAGGCATTCCTTGGAAGAAAGATGTGGCAGTCTACATCTATCAAATTTTACAGTGCTAGAAACCCTAATCACCAAGCCTTCAGTGTGTATTGTCAGTATGACAAGAAAACAAAGATTCTTAACACTGGACCGACGGGCAACATCATAATGGATGGAGAAGAGATTGAAACTATCAACAATTTCATCTTACTTGGATCCACAATTAATACCTCTGGTACCAGCAGTCAGGAAATAAGAGGGTATATTGCACTGGGAAAGTCAGTTGTTAGGGAACCTCTCCAAATTATTGAGGAGTAATGATATTATTGAGGACTAAGGTGCATCTGATTCAGGCCATGGTCTTTCTGATTGCTTACTATTTATTTGAGATCTGGACAATGAATGGGGATGTCATAGCTTATGCCTTTGAGCTTTGGTGTTGGAGAGGAGCACTGAACATCCCAGGGATGGCCAAAAGAATAAACAAATATGTCTTGGAGATAGCGCAGCCAGAATGCTCTTTGGAGGAAAGGATGATGAGGCTTCACCTCACATACCTAGGGCATGTTGCTAGGAAAGGTGGAGGAGGATGGGCGAAGGAGAGGAAGGACCTGGACCAGGTAGATTGATGTGACTGATGCAATGGGCTCTTGTGTGTCAGGAAGTCTGAGGATGGCACAGGATAGAACAGGCTTCAAATCTGTTGTTCATGGGTTGAACTTAACTCCACAGCACCTAACAACAACCCTAGAAATAGAAACCCTATGAGTGGTTCTACCCAGTCCTGCAAGATGGCTACGAGTGGAAGTCTACACCATGGTAAGGAATTTGGTTTGTAGCAAAGGAAAGTACCATAGTGTCACAGTGGTAAAAGTATTCAGCATTAACCTAAAGATCAGAGGTTAGAACCCAAAGACAGGGACAAAGACAGGGCCGTCTGTCTCCAAAAAAGATTAAGAGACGTGGAAACCCGACGACAGAAGTTCCTGTCACTAAGATTCAGAATGGATGGTCTGTCCCTATCCCTAAGATTCAGAATGGATGATGAGAAGGCAGCGGTGTATTTGGTTTTACTACAAAACCAAAATTTTCATAGACGTTGAGCTGATGTGTTCGTTTTTGGCCAGAAGAGGGAGCCAACCACGTTTGTAAATGGCAGCAATCAACCAGAACGTGCTGCGCGGATTGCTGTGGTTCAAGTCCTGTAAAAAACACCTCATTCGATGGATTGAGATCTCTAGGAACTGGAACAGGAACACTTCAAAAACAAACCAAGGAATGCAGCGTTCTTATACAGGTCTATATTTTCTAAACTTTTCCTTTGTGTTATAACTAGTTATAACTATATGTACTCTATTTGAACCGAAGTAATAGGATCAGTGGTAAAAACAAGGCATGAATGTGGGTCTTCAGATTTTCAGTTATACTGAACTGTGTCACATTAGAATTTTTTTCTAGTGTCTCATTTATTAATACATCCTAGTCAATGCTATTATGAGTGAACCCACTGACGTATTGTGATGGGAAATTACAGACCTCTCTAAAGTACTGAAGAGCAACGATGTCAGTCTGGAGACTAAGGTGCATCTATACAGGCCATGGTCTTTGCAATCACTAGCTCTGCATCAGAGAACTGGACAACGACTACGGATGATAGAAGGAGAGTTAATGCCTTTGAGCTGTGGTGTTGGAGAAGAGTATTGAAGATGCCATGGACTGCTAAGAAAACTAACAGGTTTGTCCTGGAGAAGGTGAAACCAGGCTGCTCCTTGGAGGAAAGGATTCTGAAGCTTCGTCTGATATACTTTGGACATGTTGCAAGGAGGGACCAGTCCTAGGAGAGGGACGTCATGCTTGGGAGGGTGAAGGGACAGCGCAGGAAAGGAAGAACCTCAATGAGATGGCTTGATTCAGTGACTGGGGTAATGGGGGTAGGTGTGTCGGAGACAGTGACATTGGCACAGGATAGAGCAGGGTATAGGGCTGTTGTACATGAGTCACAGGCAACTTGATGGCACATAACAACAACAACAACAAATCCACTGGAGGGTCAGCTCTGAGTGGATTCCACTAGACATGTTCAGCAACAGCAACAATGAACTAAACAGAGGAACCAAGGGCTCTAACAGAAAGGAAAATACAAGTAATTTACAGATACCTCATTTTTTAAAACAGTGCATAAGATGCCCTATCTTTCAAATGCAGACTTGAAAAAGGCTTTGCTGTCCTCTGGAGGAACTCCCCCCAAGCCTGCAATGACTAGCATGTGGTTGTTAGGTACCGTTGATTCAGAACCAACCCATAGCTGATCCTCCAGTAGGTTTTCAGTAACTCACACAGGAGGAACTTACTTCTCTTTCTCCCTTGGAGTCACTGAGGATTTGAACCACTTGCCTTTGGGTTGCAGTACAGCTCCTTTGCCACTAAGCCAGCAGAACTAAGTATAATAGTTTTCATGATTTCTCCCATATTGTATCTTTTAAATTCATTATCTGCTTTCTCTTTTAGTGACAAAAACCCTTTCTGAATGAACTGATACTAAAAAACATGATCAAATGACTGTAAAAGAAAAAGGAAGTAATCTTTGAACTTAAATTTAAAAGAATATTTGTAACATTTGTAACTACTCACTGCCTAATTAATATGGTTTTCTAGGTTAAATAGAGAAGTAAGTCAAAGTGACATGTTGATCTTGTTACTACTTCAGAAAGGAGAATATGGTCCATGCCATTCTCTCATGTTATATATAGATCCTAGTTTCTTATTTGTATTGTTGCTCTTTTAATGGACTATGAGGGTTTAGAAAAGATGATGCAGCCAAACACAGACATAACTTCAACACAAAGTAATGAAAGAAAAAAGAGAATATAAATTTACCAAAAATATTTTACCTGGCTGACCAGCTCATGCTCAAAGACACCACTGAATTGTGTACTGGAATTTGGATTACTGGGCACTTAGTGGATCACAAAAAGAAGACATTCTAACTTTTAATTAAAAATAAAACTTCCCCTGCCCAGTGTTACATTCTTGATGACCATGATTTCTGAGGATAGAATGTTCTCCACCTGGCATCCCATGAACCATCCCACTTTAAACTATCTGAGCCACAACCACAAGGAGGTTCAGGGGAATATGTGTAACCTAAACAAGATCACTCAAAAGATGCAATGTTTTGTAGAGGCAAGTCGGTGACCATTTCATAGACTCTAGTCCCCATTCCCCATAATGGTCTAAGGAACACTGGTGGCATGGTCCACAGTCTAGTAACCTGCTAACTGAAAGATCAAGGGCTGCTATTCCATAAGCTGATTTGATGGAGAAAGATGGTAGTTTCCACTTATAAAGGCATAGAACTCTGAAAAATGCAATGGAGAGTCATTATAACTCAGAACCAATTCAATGGTAGTGAGTTTGGTTTTTTTGGTTTTGGTTCTGTGTTGTTCTAATTAGTATTGTGGATGCTTTTGTAGAAATGTGGTCACTTGTGCCTTCTTAGTTAATCCTCCATTGTTTCCTGTGACAGTAACATTACCGTGATCTCAAATAATTTAAATAGCAAAAAGTCATGTGCTTTTATTTTTCTTTTGTTTTACTCAAGACTGTGTCTTTAAAAGGGTGCCACTATAAAATGTACATAAACATGTATGGAAAAGCCCATGTGTGCTGCATCACTATGCAAATTTATAAAGAAATATCCTAGAATAATGCCTGGCACAAAGTAGGTGGCCAAGAGATGTTTGTAAAATAAATTAATAAATTACTTGGAGATCATATAATGAGAGAATTTTAAAAACGCACTGTTATCAACTTAATTCTGACTCCCAGCAACACTGTTGGACAGAGCAGAACTGCCCCCTAGGATTTCCAAGGTTGTTAATCTTTAGAAAAGCGTCAGGCTGCCCCAACTTTGTCTTTTGGAATAGTTGATGGATTTTAACCACTGATGTTTCTGTTAGAAATTAAATGCTTAATCCACAGGACCACCAGGACTCTTTAGTGAGGAAATAATGATATGTATATTACTGTCCATACTTACACAGTTAATCAATTTCTGCCTAAGACTATGGAAGTCTTCTACAAAGTATATTTCCTTGCAAGTTTGTAACTGGAGTTGGGCAAAGACATCTTCTATGAAGAAGGATAAAAGCTGTTCTTGAAATCTGCAATTTTCCTGTAATTGAGATATGTGACACTGCATAAGGTAATCGAATAGTTTTATCTTCTATATATTACTGATAAATCCCTTTGATTATTGCTTAATGATCATCTGGAAAAGTGAAACTTCAGAGGACAATGCATAAAAACTCACTGACATCAAATCAGAACTGACTCATAGCCTGCCCTACAGCAGACTTTCAGAGGCTGTAAATCCCACTGAAGGAACTTTCCCATAGGTACGTTAGAACCACCAGAAAAGTGCACGTTGGGGTTAACAGTGGACAAAGGACACCCTGTGGACTGCACTCCCAGAGCTCCCCTGCCAAACGAATAGAAATGAGAAAAAGAGAAAGACTCTCTGGCTTACCATAAACAGCTTTTTTGTTTTCTTTTTTAGTAGTCTTATAGTTCTGATACGATCTTCCTACAATAAAATAAAGAGACATAAGTTCTATCCAGGATTAGAATTGTTCAAAGCAGCGTCAGATACTTACAGGAACGCTTGCTTTGAGCCATGCCACCTTGACAAAGAGGCTGTCCACAGCTGGGACCAGGGTTTCCTTTGAGCGGCAACTTTTGGTAAAAGACACTTCCTTGTGACTGGCAATGGCAACAGACAGGATGACAAGCAACAACCCAGACCTCAAAATGCAGTTCACCCACATTTCCCTCCGCCCCATTCTGGGCTCAAGTTTCTAAGGCAGTCAGAGAGCTACTTGCGTTGGTTAGATGAGAGAATAACCTACTTATTGTTGCCCTCAAAGCCACCTTTCCAATGATGCAGTGACAGATAACTTACAGTTTATATACAAGAACATCATTTTGGTTGCACTGTTTTTTGAAGAGTTTGCTTACTAATACAAAAAAGTTGACCACACCATCTGTGACATTAAACAAAATTTCAAGTTTACTGGTAATGTTAGGCTACCGGTTGTTATTAAAAAAAAAAAGGTCAACAACAAACATCAATACTCATAACTTCAGATGTCCATCACAGCAGATTTCATCGTTGTGACAGCCATGCATGCATGTAATGCCTAATGAAAAGCCTGATCTTGGGAAGCCATGTGATCATTTTTTAATACCCCATATGGGAAAAATCTCCTTCTCTACCTAAATCTCGGGGTAAGGGGGTGGAAATTAACCAAGGAGTAAGATGGGAAGCCCTCTGTCACATGCTCATAACTCCAAATGGTTTTATATTAATTGCTTGCCTTGACAAATCCTCCTCTAGGCCCCACTGCTTACCCTATCAACAAATGTTTATTATGGGCCCAAGTATGCAAACAAAACAATAAACCTGCACAACTGTGCCAGATCTAGAAAACCATCATAATAAGGAACCCATGTTCTCTCATCCTCAATTCTCTCTCAATTCTTCGTGCAGCAATGAGTGCAATTCATTTCAGTTATCAGCCCCAATATAAGAAGCAGACACAGGACAGAAGCTGAAATAATTCCCAAAAGCATAACCTGTTAAAAATACATAGTAACAAGGTAAGGCAACACTAGGTATAGGGTAGGGAAGAGGAGACTTCTCAAAGCTACCTAAGTTTGAGATCAATCTTCAGAACCAAAGACTGAGTGCTACATCAAAGCAAGTGGGATTTTGGCCTGGCAAATAAGCAAAGTAAAAGGAGAGTGTAGGGTGAAGGATATAACAACTTGGGGATGTTCTCTGCTATTTTAAAAAGGAAGTTAATATTTTTTGAAAGTCTCGAGTCTTTTTTTTTTTAACAAGAGCAACTCTTCTGGCCTTAAAGAGGAGTTCAATGAAGGCTACTCTTCAAAAAATGAAATGAAAACTTCTCACAAAAAGTCACAAGAGAACAGAGCTGCTAGGGAGTGTAAAATGAGGGTCACTAAAATTTTCTTTTGAAGAAAATAAAAAAGGAACTCTTTTTAGCCATGAATGGCTTAAAGAATGTTTGAATTGGAACATGAAAAACCTGAGGGTTTCTCAGAATAGGATTGTCTAGCATTTAATATTCCTAGGGAGCTCTAGTGGCTTAGTGGTAAAGAGTTTTACTGTAAGCCCAAAGGACCATAGTTTGAATCCATCAACTGCTACATAAGAGAAAAATGAGCCTTTTCCAGAAGGCAATTTAATGAAGATCAGCTATGAGTTGATGCTAACACAATAGTACCGAACAATAACAACAACAAAAAGAATATGAACATCAAAAAAAGAAATTCAAATGTCTTTAGAGGACATAGCATTAACATAAACACCCTGTAAGGGTGGCTATGGACACGTGGAAGTAAATTGCTTGTATGGCCGCAAAGTCCAAAATATGCCTGACTATTTAGCCTATTATTACACTAATATGCCATTGCTTATGTCAAATGGATTTGGGCTGACAGTAAAGAATACCAGAAAAATATTTACTTGCATTTTATTTACTATGCAAAGATACTTTAATGTATCATAACAAATTATGGGTAACATTAAAAGGACAGTATCCCAGAACACTTACTTGTGTTCGTAAGTGCTTCATTCATTCCACAAAAGTCCAGAGGGAAGATTCCGACAGCTAAGTGGAACAGCTTAGAGAAGCTACTTCTGTATAAAATATGGAAGAACAATCTAACAGCTTGAAATATGCTAAAATCAGAGTTCTCTTGCTCTGTTCGCAACTCACTATTATTTTTCTCAAGGGGGTGAGTTGAAGTGGCTGTAGTTAAGGGAACCAGTAAACACAGTGACAATTTAGCAAAACATGTGAAAAAGGTTTATTAGGCAGTGAAATGAAAGAAAAGGTAAAAGAGGAAAGAGCCACCAGATAGTTAGGACTGAACTCAAATCTTACAGCTTGCTGTCAGCAGAAAAAGAAAGAAAAAGCATGACCGCCAGGTGTGCACTGTCTTTATTGACTCCCACTCCCATGAGACTTGGTCCATAGTCAGCCCCACCTAGGGACTTGTGAGATTGATGGCGGTGGGGGTGGGGGGAATGACTTCCTAGTGTAATTACCTGTTAATTCCTACTGGAAATATCACATTTGCACAAATTTTGTACATTTCTTCCCCCTTTCTTGAGTGATTCCAGCCTTCTCCTATGAGATTGAGAGAGACCAGTTAGCAATTCTAGCCCTTCACATAAGTGATCTACCCAAAAACTTAATTGAGAGTCCCAATTTCCAAGTATTGATGTGGCAGTTATTTCTCCTAAATGACAAGCTTCCTTTCATCCAAAAGAAATATAACGTCTCTGATAATCAAGTATGTTTAAAGGGCAAATTAGCCTCATCAATTCAAGCACAGAATTACAACTTTCTTTAAAATTTCAGTGACTCATCTTTGTATCTGTTTTTCTTTTTCTTTATGTGTGTGTGTGTGTGTGTGTGTGTGTGTGTGTGTCTGTGTACTACCAAATCGAATCTAACTGGTACAGGAGGAAATTGTCCATCCTTCTCCAGCAGAGCATCTGGTGGATTTGAACTGCACGCTTCTGCTTTTCTATGAGGGTGGGAGGAAGGAAAGATTCCTAGATTACAAAATTTAATTACTCTAATAGATGCATTCTCTCACATTTTAATTCCTTTGAACACAGAACGTGTCTTAAATGCAACTACCCAACCAGAAATCCAGATGCAATTATCCTTTCCTGTGTAATTACTTGTTCATAACTGTTAATAATCTTGTGATGACTACACTTGAACTGTTTCACTTCAGGTGTTGAGTGTAATTGCTGTTGAATATGTCTCCAGATAGATTCTACCAGGATCAGTTTGGCTTTAAAACAAAAGTTACTGTCTTTTTAGAAAAGCACAGCAGATAATTGGGGTGCACATTTGAAATTATTGCTGATAGTTGCTATCATATTGTCATTGACCTCATAAACAACAGAATGAAATCTTACCCAGGCCTGTGTTATTGTCACCATCCATCAGTGAAATATTTTACTTCATTGCTGTTATCATTATAGGTTTTTTTTGGCTTATAACCAATGGAATTTATCTTCTAACAGTGTATCAGACAGTATTTTGTCAATGTCAATAGTGTTTTCATTGGTTAGTTGAGGAGGACCTGAAACGCTTCCTGCAGAAGGTCAAGGACTGCAGTCTTCAATATAGATTGAAGCTCAATATCAAGAAAACAAAGATTCTCACCACTGGGCCAATTGGCAGCATCAGTATGGATGCTGAAGAGATTGTAATAGTTAACAGATTTAGTTTGCTTGGCTCCACAATCATCACTCTTGGTAAGAGTAGCCAGGAAATCAGGAGACTAATTGCATTGGGAAAGTCAGCGGTGAGGGACCTCTCAAGCGTACTGAAGTGCAACGACAACAGGCTGGAGACTAAGGTGCGCCTGATCCAGGCTATAGTCTTCGCACTTACATGCTATACATCAGAGAGTTGGACAGTGAATAGGGATGACAGAAAGAGAATTGATGCCTTTAAGCTGTGGTGCTGGAGAAGAGTGTTGAATATGCCATGGACTGCTAGGAGAACAAACAGGTTTGTCCTGGAGAGGGTGAAGCCAGAATGTTCCCTGGAGTCAAGGATTCTGAAGCTTTTTCTGACCTACTTTGGGCATGTTGCAAGGAGGGACTGGTCCTTGGAGAGGGACATCATATTTGGGAGTGTGGAAGGACGGCGCAGGAAAGGAAGACCCTCGATGAGATGGATCGATTTTGTGAGTGGTGTGGTGGGAATAAATGTGTTTGAGACAGCAAGGTTGGCACAGGATAGAATGGCATTTAGGGCTCTTGTACATAGGGTCGCTATGAGTCACAAATGGCTCCATGGCACATAACAACAACAACAACAACAAGTCTTTAAAAGTGGATTTTCAGGCCTTTATTCCTAGTCTGTTTTGGTCTAAAAATTCAGTTGAAACTTGTCTACTAGTGAGATTCTGCTGATTTTTAAAACAATGGTCACATGGTTTCTAGCACCATAGCAATATGCAAGCCACCAACAGTTCAGCAAATTAACAGATGAGTAGTAAAAAAATTGATAGTGAAAAATATATGCCTTTGAAGGATTTTTTTAAATGGCCTAATTTCTTACAAAGTATCAATCAAGTGTTAAATATTAAGTGTTATACTTTTATCAGAAGTAATTTATTTTCTTCAACTTCAATTCTTTGTTGCCAACTCATAGCTGACCTTTCAGGGATTTTCAGAGACAATAAGTGGCACAGATGGAGATTGTCCACCTTTCTCCCATGAAGCTACTGGTGGATTCAAGCCCCTTACCACCAAGTTACCAACTCCCTACCCACTAAACTGTCAGAGCTTCCTAGCTAACCTTTCTTAGTGGTATTTGGAAGGGTGGCGCGACAACACAGCTCTTGAGAAGAAGACCCAGATGAGATGGATTGACACCGAAACTAGAGTGATGGGGGTAGGTGTGTCAGAGTCAATGAAACTGGCTCAAGATAAGGCAGGCTTCAAAGCTGTCATACGTATGGTCACTATGAGTCCCAGGTGACTCGATGGCGTGTAACAACAACTTATCATTAAGTACTATCTTAAACCAATTGAACTAGAAACTGAATATATCATGCGAGAGAAGGCAATTTTTGTCTCCTAAAATGAGAGGAGACTATATCTAGAATCCTGATATTATATTTAAGAATCTAAGTATTAGAGGAAAGAGTAACTGGTGTTTATACAGAACCGAGAATGGTGCCTATTTCTGACCAGCCAGACTAA